TTTCATCCCTCTATGATGTAGCACTTTGAAGCAATATAATTCTTAACTCATAATGTTCAAGAAATACAATCCATTACTTCAGATATATGATGTAGGAATATTAAATTGAATAATAAAAGAAAAAGTCAGTGTGGTTTATTTATTATGTCTTCAAAATTTAGACCATGAACAATGTTTAATATTATAATTTTATTTTAGAAATTGAATTGTATAAGGCACTTAAAATATGCACAAAAGGATCGTTTTATAGATATACCATGGATAAAAAACAGCAACAGTGATTTCTGTTCTGAATATGTGAATATGGTTCCCGAAATTCAGAGGGGAATCTTTCCTTAAAAATAGACATTATGTACAAGGTGCATATAGGATACAGCACTGCTTTTACTAATTATTTCTGAAACAGAATAAATTTGAATGATAAACAAAAGATAACACCCTAAAAAGAACACATTTGCAAATTAAATGCAATAAATAATTAAATTTTAATCAATGGCCATCCCCGTGTCTTGCACGACCAGTTAAAAAAATAATCAAAGATCAACAGAACATAATAATCTTTTTGTTCAATTATATTAAGAAATATAATTGATAAAGAACGACAAAATTCTAGCAGGGACCTTGGCAAACTACGACCCTTTGCGGAAGTGTCACGAGAAATTGCGAACAATATACCGGGACGTTTCCTGTAATGAAACAGTTTGTAAACATTGTGTAAAACTGTCACATTCTTTTGTAGCTGGTAATAAAACGATCGCACGACAGAAGCATTGGCCTTTTTCGCCATTAAGTGTAGATAAAATGACCATAGCAACCCACACCCACTCAAAAAATACATCACGTCCCGGCCTTGTTCAATGTCAGGATAAACCACAAACACGACAGAGTCCATGTCCCACACACCGTCACCGGCCCTTTCCTAGGTGATGACCTATTGCACCTAGCGACAGCTTTACGTACAGCATATTCATACCGATATCACCATTTAAGTCAACAGAGGTGAAAACATACACTGCATTAGAAAGACAAATGCAGTATTGCCTTTCTACTCTCAGGATCCTTGTCCACTTTTGGAAGGACTGAATTTAGTCTAAGGTTTCGTTTTAAAAATATATATATATATACACTGCGTGTGAATTTATAACTACCCGAGCAAACAGAAGGCTTATGAATATTTTAAAACGACCTTGTTTCTGTTGAGTTGTGTGAGTGTGATATGTATTTTCTAACAACTTGATAACAAAGATCAGTTGAAAAAATAATCAATTACTCCTTCAAAGGGATTCGGCATGATTTGACTAACATGCAGACTTTATCAACTTTTGTACGAATTAGCATGGGGATGCATACAAAAGGTCGAAAAATAATCCAATATTATTATTTTTGTTTTACAATGTATTGTATTTTGTCCCCAATGTAATACACGTACAAGTATTTTATACTATTATATTATTTAGAAAATTGCATTTCAAAAAGGTTTTAATTTAAAAGCAATTTGATTAGATTTATTGTGATCTCTATAGATATACAATACTATACAATTATTGCTGTTTTTGAGGTCAATACGATGATTTAGACACCTGAGAAATACATTTACCGAACCCAAAGGCAAGGTAAATTTTATACTTCGAACGTGGCTATATCATCGTATTGACCAAGAAAAATTGCTTTGTTAAGTGATTCAATGATAAAATGATACAAACTCTTTAAGCAATTCATGCCATCTTACGTGTTTACATTTGTTGAAGTCCCAGCCAAACATAATGAGAGAGACAGGGTTAACAAAAACATAACCAGTTGTATTAATTTGAAATTTTCGAATCTAGTTTACGTGCAAAGTAGAAAAAAATGTCAGGCACGTATATACGATTGACTTAAGAAAGAAAAGGGGGCATTATAAGGGAAAAAAATTGACAACTTACCTGAAAAAGAAATCTTCGACTAGCCCCCCCCCCCCCCTACACACACAAAAGAGAAGAATTCTTCCACTCCAAATTTTATTTTGGGGGAGGTTAGGTCCATAAACGGGGAGATCAGCCTTTCAATGAGCATTTTTATACTAAATGAAAAGTAAATATTGAAGTTCACAAAAATGTGGGGGGAGGGCAGCCTCCCTCCTGCAACCACCCACCCTCACCCCAGATTCTATGTGCCTAAATGTTACGTTCACCCGAGTGGAAGTCGGGTACAAGGGAATAACTTTCCAAAACTATTTGTATCAATTTGAAATTTCCCTATGTATTCTTAATTCAATATAAAAAAAAAAACCTTATGTTCATAAAAATTGTGTTAGTACATAAAATATATGGAGATAACGAACAGTATTCAAGCTGAAAAGTCTATTAAACAATACAAATTTTGGAGCAGAGCAAACACGGACCTCTAAAACACCAGAGGTGGGATCAGGTGCCATGGAGGAGTGAGCATCCCCTGCCGACCGGTCACACCCACCGTGTGCTCCTTGTCATGAACGGGAAATAACGGAAAAATCCGTCGACAATTCAGTGTGTAAATAACAATGGCCTAACAATTAGTATGAAAAAAGTCAGTCAGCATTTGACTTAATGATAAATTGTATTTGCTGACAAGGACATTGTATCTACCATAGAACTTACGAAATGACGACTTTAAACGAGACTTCTGATATTCTTGTTTCATCAACTTGTTTGTCAGTAACTTACCTCATATTAGAAATTGATCATACGTAGAGCATGCTCTGGCATATCGAATCAACTGAGAAATATAAACCCCGTATGCAGGTGATGAAGGTATATCTTGCTGCATAAGTAAGGGATCGAAGTTGACGATTGAAAAGTTAAAGTCATCACGTTTATCATAAAGCTTGGTAGTTAGATAACCATTAACGTCTTTTTCTAGTAAAATATCCAAATATGAAACAGATGTGTCAGACTCTGTGGTATCTTTTATTTCAAGCTCACCGGGATATATCGTATCGACATAAGAATGGAAATAACCATTGTTAATTAACAATACGTCGTCGATATATCTAAATGTTGAATTGAAGTTTTCTTCTTTTCATGGAAAGATTTTGAACAAATTCTGCCTCATATGAATTCAAAAATAGGTCTGCTAATAAAGAGGCGCAATTGGTACATGTAATACAAATTTTTTTTTTGCAAATTAAGGAAGGCCCTATTCACCTCGGTAAAGAATTATTGCTGAGGAGAATTAATTTCAGTGAACTCAGATTTTTCTTACTACCATTAACCACTATTTTTGATTTGGTTAATAATATGAGAAATACGCAGCATCGAATTTAATTTTACATTATATTACATATATATAATTTAATTTTGTTTGTATACTAGCCTCTGATTGGTTAATATCCAAAAAGGAACACAAATTATTTCTGTATAACCTGGTTTGGTATGGGGACACACCCCCCTGACAACCAGCTGAATCATCTGTATCCATACAATCCTCTCATTTCCAGTCCTCGGGATTCATGGAAAATTCCAGATTTAATGAATGTACCTTTAATTTCAAACAATAATTCGATCTTACCACATGTAACCAAACAACATGGCTGCTATGCCTATGTATCAGTTTTTACCTCCCCTCGATTCCCATCACTTCCGTTACTTCCGTTACTATGGTTGTATTATTGAGCGGCAAATTTGAACTGATAAAAAGTAACGAAATTTTACACCCATAGTTATTTAATGATTTTAAAATTAAATTATAAGGAATGACTCTAATTCTTGGCCAAATTATTCGAGTATAACCTGGTTTGGGTCAGTTTACGCTGTTTTATAATCCGCTTCGCGGATTATAAAGCGTAAACTGATCCAAACCAGGTTATACTCGAATAATTTGGCCAAGAATTAGAGTCATTCCTAAAGTAAATCTAGTACAGTTTACACTCACCTAGATGAAAAATGACTTCATAAACCCGGGCCACCCCCTACCCCCTTAATACATTTATAAGGAACATTTTTTACTTGAAAGACAATAAATGAAGTGAAATGTGTACCACAAGTAATGAATTCAGTATAACTTCTTGATCTCGAGTTTCGTTTTTTACATTCCAGTTTGAAATGAAATAGTCATAATATATATATATATATATATATATATATATATATATATATATATATATATATATATATATATATATATATATATATATATATATATTCGTACTTTGCTTAACATGTTTAAATTAGATAAATTATTTGTTCAATGAGCCGGGCAATTACAATCATTTGCACTGTTTTTATTAAATCAGTGGTCCAAGTACTGTAAATAATGAGGGTACATGTATTCGGTATCTTATAATATTCCATCAGTAATAATACGATTTCTTTCTTTTTGAATAGTCAAAACGAATATTTCTATTTCAAAAATACGGCAAAGGAAGGCAGGCAACAATTAATCGACTATACGTTAAATTTACGAAAACCCAAATGTATACACAAATATGTACTAGTACTTGCTAGTCTAGTATATAATATATAAGAACTTTATAATCTAGTACATATTTTTTTCAGTGGTTATTGTAGTATATATGCAGTAATAATTATGCGAGATGCTAAATATTTTGCCATTGAATTTTAGTTGAAAGCAAATTCTTGTTTTCAAGAGTTTTAATCTCAAACAAATGCCAATAATCGCTATTTACTTGTAAGAACATGATAACTATCATCACTTTTTCGTCACTTAAAAAAAAGACGGAGATATAATTTGCGCAAAAAGTGCCACCACAGAATAGTACTTTGGTACTCTTGGGAGTTCTACAAATGTAAGGCGGATTTTCTCAAATTTAGAATTCCAAAATTATACATAGTTCGTGTATGTATTAGCCTTTTAGGATGCTATAAATCAAATTTGACAAGATTTCCATTGTCAGATCGCTTTAATGGGAGTTCGCATGCAGTGCACCAGGTGGCAAGTCATATTTCATTGTATATATTCGTGCATGTATACTTTAAAAACACTCCAAATGCTTATGTGTTTCCTAAAAAAGTTGATTCAAGAGATACATAATTTATTTTTATTTATCTGTTTGTGAAAATGGTATTTCAGAACAAAACATGGCAGTTGCACATTCAAACAAACGTGATGATAATTATCACCATTAATATATACATAAAAAGAAAAATGGTATCGATTGCATAATATAGGTCGATGCAAAACATCCGGTTTTTCTTCGTAACTTTTTGCTAGATGACGTGATTTAGGATTTACAATGAAAGTTCATCCCTTCATTTTAGCATCCTCAAAGAATGTTTTTTGAAGCAGTATCAAAGTATTGGCACAGATGTCAATGAAACCGGATCTGACAGAATTGCAATATCCGGGTTATCGAAGTTTGCCCAAGAGGAAGCGATATTTGAGAAAAATGATACAAATAGTTATAAAATTCCAGATCATTGCTTCTTTATGTTGACTTAAATTAGCATTTAGATCGGGAAGTCGAGTACAAATAGCATATATCAAAATGATGCTCCTTTGATCTTTTTTTTTTTTTTTTTTTTTTTTTTTTTTTTTTTTTTTTTGCGTGACATCAGGTAAACCTTGTACTTTGCCATCGCGAACAAATTTTAGCTGAAATGAAATTGGAGTACCAAGTTGAATGCCATATTAAGTTAAATTAGTTTTTTTATGATCCTGATGGCGTTTTGTCACCTGAGAACTTGACGCAATGCTTGTCCAAGAGAACAGAAAACTAAGACCAAGTAGAGATGTGTGCATTGTGTGAACCGAGATGCTATGCTATAATAACTGTCGACAGTCTGAGGAATCGGAACCACTGCTCCTAGGCTGTCAGGCTGGTATGGTACAGTAGACGGACTTGAGTTGACAGTGGGTTGATTTTTTACATTAGATCTCGTTTGACATGGCTCTTTTACTGAAATAAGAAACAGGATGGCTCTGATACCCAATTTATCCGAAAGAAATATTTCTGCTATAAATACAAATCAGTTGGATGAGTAACCGCCTAATTTTGTTTAAAGTTTATCAAAAGTTAAGGGCAACACTTTAGTTCCTATATAAATTTAAACAAGAGGCCCATGGGCCTTGATTATCACCTGACCACATATGACCACTTAAGTCCACCTGGAACTGGAACTCTCGCATCCTGTGCAAAAATCTACTGAGATAACAAACTGTGATCAATGTCATAAATCTTGTAAAAATACGAAAAGTAAAAAAGGCAAAAACACTGGAATACACCAGAGGTGAAATGAGGTGCCTAGAAGAAGCAAACATCCCCTGACGATCGGTCACATCTGCTGAGAGCCCACTGTATTTATCAGGTAAACACAGGAATCCGTAACCAAAATCAGTATAAAACAATGACTGAACAATTGGTATGAAACATGTCAATAAAAATACAACTCAAGGTTTTACTTGCAAACAAGGTCATTATAACGACCATAGAATTTGCAAAATACAGAATTTATACGAGATTGTAAGCCTGTACTAACAACTTATTTGTCAGTAGCTTGTCTAGGTTTTAAAAATTGATTGCACTGGAATCATGCTCTTTCCGAATCAGTTGGAAGACATAAACACCATATGCATGTGATTGTGGAATAATATTTCTACATAAATAGGAGACGACGTTGCCGATGGAAAAGTTGACCTTATTCCGTTTTCACATAGTTTAGTTGCTAGTTTGCCATTAACGTCTTCAGTAAAATATAGAAATATGAAAGAGATATGGCAGACTCTCAGGCGTCTTTTATTTCGAGTTCACTAGGATATTTCCAGTCGATTTATAAGTAAAAGTAACTATTGTTAGTTGATAAAACGTCGTCGATATATTGGAATGTCGAATTAAAGGCAAAAGCAAAAGTTTACTGCTCAGGTAGGAGTTTTTGAAGAAATTCTGCTTCATAAAAATACAAAACAGGCACGTAGCATTAGGGGGGCCGGGGGTCCTAGTTTTTCTCAAGCATAACTTTTTACCATTGAAAATGGTCACTGAAAGGCCGGTCCCCCACTTTTTGTTGCAGAGTAGGCAAATAAGGGTAATAACTTTTTTTTTCTCTGCCCCCTTTCAAAAACGATGCTACATGCCTGTAAAAAATAAGTCAGTTAATAAAGAAGCATTATTTGTGCTCACTGGAATCTAACAGATTGTTGGAATACCTGACCTCCAAAGACTATAAATATTCTCAATGAAAAACCCAAGCATTATTTTAATATCAACTTTAGAGTACTTATATGTAGAATCGAGTGTTTTTTAACAAAGAATTTTTGTACAATTTTTGTACATTTTGTACATGGTCAATCACAAGCTATGACAATTTCCCGAGTTCCATTTTTAATGAAGAACACAGCTGTTTTGATTACAAGCTGTTCTTTTACTAGTAATCTTACTGGACAGAACCTCTCTACTAAAAACATGAAAATCTTAACTGCAGCTCACCTAATGTCTACGGAATAGAATGTTCCCTATGTGGGCTTATTTATGTTGGAGAAACTAAGGGTTCACTTAATAAAAAAAATAGCGGGGCACAGATTTCAAATTAACAACGGGGACCAGCAGCTTCTCTACAAGCACTTAATTTACCTGATCATTCTATTTTGTCAATGAAATTTTGGATTCTAGAAAAGATTTACCATCATACTAGTATCCCATCATTGACACCTTTCCATAGACATCGAGAAGAATACTGGGTTAGGAAATAAAGCACAGCCTTTCCATATGGTAGCAATGACGATGTCGATAGTGTTGGGACTCTTTCAAGTGTTGCAATGTGAATGTGATGGGGCTTTTTATCAATACCCAGAGACATCAGCCTAGTATGGACATCGGTTTTACAATCAACGTATTATACCCGATGTCTCTTTTTGATTCACTAATACCTAAGTAAATAAACAGTTAGGTCTTCATCACATTCGCACCAACTTTACTCTGTCCCTTTGAAAGTTTTAAATAGTCTATTTGAAAAAAAAATCAAGGAAAGTCCATATTTGGATCCTTCGACACCAGAATGCAGACTCGGATCTGTGATTATGGACATTGCAAATCACAGACTTTTTAAACCGCCACGTTTTACGGAAGAAAATACTGCTCAAACAACACGTTTGCCCATGCAACTCCAATTTGCCAACAAAGGAATTGACCCAATTAATATAAGTAATATTCTTAATCACAAAAGGGTCAAGTCTTGTATTCCGCCATATTTCAAGTTGAAGTCCACACCTTGTATTTCTTGCAAATATACATCGAATATTGTTTCCAAACTTATTAATACAGAAAACTCTACAGTGCCTATATATCGAACATCTGAAACATAATCCTCCAACGATTTCATCTTCTTCTTCACCCTACAACTATAGTCCTGCTGGACACCTCATTACTGGTGACGTAAATATAATAAATAATGAGGATCTTAAATCACTTATTTTACAAAGGCCAAAATTTAGGGAACTCCAATCTTTAAACTGGCATCATAATTTCATATATATTATAAATTCTTTGGAAAATTACAACAGGCGATGGACCAAACATGAAAAAGAAGACCTTGGTACTTTGTCAGAATGGATTAAAAGTATCAGTTGAATGTTGAAATCTCGCATTAAGCGATTGAGGGGCAATATGAAAACCATCTATCCTTCAGTCTTCAATGATTCAGAAAAGAAAAAAGAATTAGATAGATTACACGATCAATATGTACTGGCACCAGCTGACAAAGCAGGTAACAACATTGTCTTTGTAAGATTCATTATTTTAATTCTATTTTAGAGGAGCAAGGATTGAATTCTACAAGTGGTAATCCAACTTATACCCATAGCACTCTTTCTAAGGAGTAAATTCTTCATAATCATATTCAGTTTTAAATATTTTTAATATTCCCAACAAACAAATTGAACTCGAAACACCATACTGGATTCATAAACTACATAAAATCCTTAAAAAGATACATAGTGGGTTCCAGTAAATGTTCTAACAAGCCTCTTTCTTAACTCCTCACTAAAATAGCAGTGAAGGAGGAACTTCAGGAGTACTGTACAACAATATATTCGAGAAGTGGAGTCAATCAGATGTGGATACTTAAAAACTCCAAGAAACCTTTACAAAATTTGAAATCACAAAATTTTAGCAAAATCAATAACATCAAAACTTACGACTTTACAACACTTTATACAACCATTCCAAATGATAACTTTAAGTCCGACCTTTTTGACATCATAGACAGCTGCTTTTACAATAAAAATGGAACTCGTAAATTTACTTACCTTGTCATTTGCAAAATTATTTTGTTAAAAAAATCTATTTGTACACACAAGTACTCTGAGGTTGATTTTAAAAAGATGCTTGAGTTTCTGATTAACAATTTCTATGTAGTATTTGAGATCAAGTCTTCCAACAATCTGTCGGAATTTACATTGTATTAATTGTGGCCCTTTAATATCAGACCTATTTTAATATTCAAATGAAGCAGAATTTATTCAGAAAATAGAAAAAGAAGTTAATGGTAACCTAACAACATTTCGCAAGTTCTGTGATCAATACAATGACCTTGTAAGCAAATACAAACTGTCATTAAGTCGAATGCTGACTAACGTTTTTTCATACTAATTGTTAAGCCATTATTTACACACTGAATCGTCTACGGATTTTCCCGTTTGCCTGACAAGGAGCATACGGCGGGTGTGAACGGTCGCCAGTGGGTGCTTATTCCTCCATGGCACCTGATCCCACCTCTGATGTTTTCTGAGGTCCGTGTTTGCTCTGATTACTCCATATTTCATTGTCTATAATGTCAAAAAACCTGGACTTAAATTAACTGTGAGTAATGGTTAGGTTTTGATTAGTTATACGTCTTCATGTTATTGATTTAAGAAAAAAAATTATTCTAAATTTTCTAAAAGTTCTTTGGCGTTTTAAAGAATTTACATTTGATTTGAATATGTTGTTGCACAATTTGTCTGAGGTTTTTCCTTCACAGTAGTTAATAATTTGTAAAGTGTAAAGATAAGGGATTGGTAGAACAGTTACTTGAACCTGCAGTGTATATTTGTGAAGATTTTTTAAGTCTTGGAATGCAGTATAGGTACGCTAAAAGAAATTAACTTTTGTTGTCTGTAATGAAAAAAAAGTATTTAAAACATTTGAAAGGGAACAGTGAGATGGATTTCAGATGTGGAGTTAAAGATAATTTCTTCTTTAAGATTTTTAAAGGTGCAATGTATTTTCATTAATGATCAATTTAGGGGGAGGGGGTTGAAGCTATGAATATAACAGTTTTAGAAGAGGGCGAAATGTTTATTATAATCATGGGAAAAGTTTGCCTGCTAAATACTGTGGGTAGAGATTTTCAAAGAGGTAACATATTTTCAAAATATAAGCTCCACCCTAAGGCCTGAACCATGGATCTAGGGGCCATTAACATCATAATTTTAGTAAAACATTGAGTACTCGTTGTAATCAAGAAAACCGATTGTTAGATTCCATGAGTAAAGAAGAAGATTTAATAAGATATAGGCCTAATGCATTTTTAATATATGACCAACATAACCCCACCTATGCTGAATCATAAACCAAGGGCCCATAGATTTAACGATTGTGTTAAAAGGGCTTATGGCTTATCATAATCATGCTAACAATTCATCTGTTCCCCTTAACCCATAGATGCTTTATTCCAAATTTGGTTGAAACTGGTTCAGTCCTTCTTGAGAAGTTCACGTATGACGCCACATCGGACGAAAACACTTCACCTGCATGATTGTCCCAGGTGAACTAAGAAAAATAAAGCTTGAGAAAATAAACATTTTCTGAATTGCTTTGAAACCTGTCTTTCTATTTCTTTATTGTTCAACACTAAAAGACACATACAAATTTTATATAAGGTTTTTATTTCTAAATTACTTAGAAAAAGATTCCTTTTCAATATCTTTTTATTGCAACGAAATAAGATTTTTAAATCTCATATGCATAGAGAATAATTAATTCCACTTTAAGACTAGATCAATTCTTATATATGTGATCCATTATACTTAAACACAGCATTGCATAGCAGTTTCAAAAATTGTAAATCTTTAAATGTAAGGAATGAAATGAGCACAAGAAACCAAAGGCCAAAAAAAAAAAAAAAAAAAAAATGGAACGGCGCAAAATAATAAATTTTTGCACCAAATGAATAAACGCAAAAGCACGAGAAGATTGCCAAAAACGCGCGGAAAATTCATAAACATATAGATCATGTGCTTCTTGCTGTTCCTTTTGCGTAAATGAGTCTAATTAATCATTCTTTGTATGGCAATAATATTCTAATTCTACACCGTCGCTTCCGGTTTTGCGGTTCAACAGAGATTGCATTTCCATAGAACGAGGCTAGGTAGTTGTTTACTGCAGAGAACGAGAGGTGAATTTGTATCATATAATTTATTCTACTCAATAAATCCTCTAATTTTCAATGCAATGCAAATGTATAAATTGATAATTCATTCATGTTTTTGTGAATGAGTTATGAGAATGGCAATACGTCATCTTTTCTTTTTAACCTATATTGAGAAATTCTTAAGTCAGGGACTGAGAAGTTTTGAAATTCATATCTTAATTATGTGAGCAGAGGAGTAATTAAAACTGCAGGAATTCGAATTTTTAAGAAAAAAAATCTATATAAAATATATATACAAAAGTGTTAAATGAAAGAAAAAGTGAGCAAGCTCATATACCCCACGCTTCCCCAAAACTTGACAACGCAACACATAATGAATGGCACAGTGCGTTTAAAATACACAGTATAATTCAAAAAGGGGCAATACTAGCAAAAAAAAAAATCCTCATATGAAAACTTCTTGCATATGAGGACATTCAAATCTTATGAAATTATTTAAGGCAAAGCACTAATTTGAGGTGTGTGTGTGTGTGCGTTTGTGTGTGTTGGGGGTGTGGTGTTGGGGGGGGGGTGGGAGGAGGAGGGGAGGGAGAAATTTCTGTGTACTTCTATCCAAGACTTTTTGTAGGTGTGTGTTGAATCATTAATATTATCATCTCAACATCAATAGGGGTCTTTCAAGGTCATAAAATATTTCACAAAATTTCATTGCAAAAGCTGAATCCAGTGTATTTCCTTATTACGTGACTGAAAAGTTTTTTTTTTCAATAACAGCCAGAACTTTAAGGCCAAAAATAATAGAATCGTAATTTCCTAGCAATATACACAACTACACACTGTGTTTTAAATATCTGCAAAGTTTGATAAAATTCTGTACTGCAGTTTAAGAGGAGTTGCGCTGACAAACTGTTCATCTCTATATTCAAGATAAGGCCAAAAATCTAAGATGAAAAGTGCCGAAATTCCCCAAAAATAGAGGAATCGGAATTTCCTGGCAATATATACAACTACACACTGTGTCCTAAATATCTGCAAAGTTTGACGAAATTCTGTGCAGCAGTTTAAGAGGAGTTGCGCTGACAAACTGTTCATCTTTTCAAGATATGGCCAAAAATCTAAGATGAAAAGTATCGAAATTCCCAGAAAATTCCCAGAAAAATAACGGAATCGGAATTTCCTGACAATATGCACAACTACACTGTGTCCTAAATATCTGCAAAGTTTGACGAAATTATGTGCAACAGTTTAAGAGGAGTTGCGCTGACAAACTGTTCACGCCGAAACAAAACAAAACATATTTACATATTACTATCTTGTTGTAAATTTTGAATTTACTAGGGGGAGGTAAATATCATGTTGTAAATTTTGCATTTACCTCCCCCTAGTAAATTCAAAATTTACAACATGATATTACAAACAAAAAACAAACAAATGAAAATGAAAAACGGAAAATTATACCAAGAATGAACTAAAAAAAATTATGTTTGTATAGTTACATAGTTTATGACCTATGTAGCTGTGTACTTTTATTCTAACATTTATTCGTTCTGAGGGTAGCCTATATATTATCTATAAAACTAGTTCTGCTGGCTATATAGCCTATCTACCGACGCTGTATTTCTGCACAGTTTTGATAACAGAGGACGTGGCTGAATATCTTTTGAAACAGTAGATGTATATACTGTAGTTTTTCTGTGAGAGGACCACGAATCTTATACTATCGTAGTGTGATAGACCTCATAACATTTTATAATAGTTTTCTTATGAGAGGACGCAAATATCGTGCTAATTTTTTAATGGTTTCTTGTGAGAGAATGGTGGACCCAATTCTTTTTTAATAGTTTATGTCCGAGTGCAAGCCTAGGGATTCATACCGAAAATTATGGCTTTTTTTTTGTTTTGTTTTTTGTTTTTTTTGTTTTGTTTATTGCTTTCTCTTTGGAATAACGTTCCAGTGCTGTTTTCCTCTTACGCGCTATATTTCATTTCCAAGTTGTTTTATTTATTTATTTATTTATTTATTTATTTATTTATTTATTTATTTATTTTTTGCAGGTATATAAAATTATGCCAAATCAGTAACATTGATTTTTGGGTATCATATCCTTTGATGGTGTTATCTATGTAACTTTAAGTCATGCAGTTTGGTTACAACCTTTAGGTAGCTGTCGTTCATCTCTTACTTTGACACAAATCAGATGACATACGTTCAATTTCATTAAACTACAGAGCAGCTTATTAACAAAGGCAATTAAGCTAATTAATTAAGCTAAACTAATTAGAGGTTATCTTAATGTTGATATTTGGATGCCTTTCTTGGTAACTTTTTTTCTTATTTACCGTGGAATCCTTCTGCATGTCTGTGTAGAGAGTTTACAGGTAATTAAGGATCAAGTCCTGTCTGATCACTTCAATATTTTTACCTTTTAAAAACAGTTCTGCATCTGCTTGTCTGTCGTGATGAGCTAGGACATTTGTGAACATTCCACACTGTGGGGTGGGCATTTTGTAGATCACTTGCTGAGGAAAATCGTATTTGTATTCAAAAGTACTGTATTTAACCTAGAAAAAAAGAAAAAAAAAAACAAAGGCTAAGTTATAATTTGTCCAGGTAATTTTAAACATATCTGATAATATTTGTGGTCAAGAATAACTGTGCTAATGAAACACCTACATCTTATGTAAATGAATTACATTACTTGATGCAGTCAGATTCTAAGTTATAATTTTTGCATTCAAAAAAGAAAAATCAACCTTTCTCAAACTTCTTTCCTTTCTCGTAAATTATATTTTATCAATTGACAACTTAAAGAAATAATATTGCGGAATTTATATCTGTCAGAAGGACACTACCAAGAATAGAAAATGGACCTTTTTCCAGTTCTGATAGAATAAATACAGTTGTAGATTTATATTCAGATATCGACTTAGAAGATTTTAAGTAAATTTATATGTCATTATATGCCTGTACAAATAATTGCACACTATATGTCAGTGTAGCCCCGACCTATAATAAGAATTGGCGGTTTTGTTTGTTTGTTTGTTTTTTTTTTTTACTTTATAGGTGAGCAAGTCTAATTTGTCGGTCTGAGATTCCTTTGACAACCTGTATAGTTCTCTTTAATACTTAAATAATTTAAATGATCTCTTTATTATTTTTGTTTATTAAATATCATTTTATAGCCCAGAAATACATTTATATTTTAAAACATTTGAATAGATATATCGGTACCTTGCGTTGATTGAAATCAGATATTACACTGTCTTTATATGCTGTGTGCTTCTACATTCTTATTTAAAAAAATGTATATCTTTACAAAACTTGACTGAGCAAAGAAATTCTCGAGAATCGAGTTATTAGGGGGAGGGGTTTCATTCAGAAAATTTTAAAAATTTACATTGCTCTAGGAATAAAGGTATCGAGAGAAAAAAACAATAAGAAAGACCTAAACATTTTCCCCGTTGATATGAAGCCTCGTAGCGTGATCATCTTTGTCAGTGGGTGGCATTTATTGATGCTTTAACCTTCAGCTACTTGGAATTTCCCAAAGAAATAATTTTTTGATTAAAATATCATTCTCCCAGACATGTATTATAAATGTATCCCTGATTGTAAAATAAAATTTCATACAAAATCATAACTAGCTGGATTTATTATTATAAAATTTAAAAGTCATTTTACCAATAGATTAACTTTGAAATAAGTTGATGACAAGCACCTTTTCCTTCGTGGGGGTAAATTTACAACATCAACAATATATTAAGATATGCAATAAAGATGAAAAAATAAAAAAAAAATAGGAAAGGCGTAAACAAACATCCTATCAGCCTGGAGGGAACACAAGCATTAATGAATACATGAACATCGGAATGTGTTAATATATAGTTTATTAATTTGAGAATATTTTTTACGAAATGAAACAATTTACATGACTTAACGTGCAATTCGTCAGTAAAAAGGCAAAAATAGTTTATTGTCCAAAAAAGGATATTATATCATTAGAAGAAAAGCAACTCTAATTTGGTATGGTGGTTAATTCCAGATAAATGCACGTTTTCCCTAGTTATGAAACGCTTAATTCATGCCTTGCTTTTCTCACGCATCCCCATGCCAGACCTAGGGTTCTATTTCAGTCGAGGCAGGGAGTCTGACGGTTTAGGTCAAGAGCGAAGCCCTGATAGGGGCCGGGGGGGGGGGGGCGGGCGAAGCCCCGCAATCTCTTGGTTTAAAGTTATACATGACGTATCTAAGCTGGGAAAAAAAAAATACGAAATTGCGATATATGTACGTTATGATTAAAATTTTCACTGATTTTTAACTCGGACTATAGTTAAGTTGACTTTAAACTTTAAACTTTGCTGCAATTGTGTTGAATACGAGTATTGACATGATCCGCCAAGCGCATGACTGCGGGAAAAGCATTAAAACCATGATGGAAGAAGAGATATAAATGTACATGATATTGTTGGCATATCATAATTTTTTCTTTACTTCTTTCTATTGCCCATCTCTTCCTCTCTGTATTTGTTGAACCGCTTGTATTCGCTGGCGGAGTTATTCAAATATCTATTTTTTTATGGAGTCGGTAAATGAATCGGTTATTGTTTTAAATTTTTGATATCTTTGAAACACGATTTATTTAAATTGTCCTTTATCTGTATCTTTATATATTTATGAGGCAACTTAAAAGATCTTTTTAAATTTGGTGATACGAATTTATCAAAAATATGCCATATACAGCTTTAAGATGTAGGAAGTGCTTTGCCTATATCCCCTATCCCCCCTCCAATAAAAAAAACTCTCTTTGATTGTTTGGAAGAATTAATTCAGCTATCATAATACTGTTCACTTATTAAGAGCCTACATAGCAAGCTCCATTTGTTTGTACAACCAGAAGTAATGCACTGTGCCTAATAAGTAGTTATGAAAAATTTGATTGTGTCGTGATTTTTCTTGTGAATAGATCCAAAATTTTCACATATGCTCCGCTCCCAAGAGCATCGAGTTCTTTATCGTGCTACGTTTATCGTGAACGTTTGCTGCAACATGGGAATATGGGTTTAAGGTGGCAATCGAAAAAAAAAATGTTTTTCACTTCAAATACCGAGCGCAACGGAACGATGGGACTGTTCTGTCGCTCAGTAGGCGTCCGCTTAACGGTACCTACTGAGCCACAGCACCCCTATAGTATTTTTGATTTATGTATATTTATATGCACGTTTTTATGAAGAATTAGACTCATCAAGTAATGTAATCCATGACAGTGTGACCGATCTTTCTTAATGAAAAGGGTGTTTAAATAATTATTCCAAGTTAAATGTGATGCTTACTGGTCAGATATATTGACTTTGAAGTTTAGAGTCTATACTAACAAAATAATCCCAGATTATAAAAGCTTGATTTCTTATACGGAGATTGCCTAGGCCACAGGCACTTGGGGTCTGGACCCCCCCCCCCCTTTCCATTTTTTTCTTTTTAAATATGAGGTCGAGACACCTTTTTCCTATTTTTGTATTCTAATATGCACTATATATTATCAATAATGTAACTCTTTTGTCTCTATATGCTGTTTTTAAATATACCGTTTTCGACTGATACATAAAAAGAGAGAAGGCTTGCAACTCTTTTCTCGTCGTCTGCCTCACCTCGCTCAAACTTCGCCTGATTATTTATCTAAAACATAAGAAAACATGGGATATGCATACATCAATAAATTTGTTATACATTCTTCTTCCTTTTCATATTTCCATTTAATTTTTATGTGCCCCCGATTTGTATATATTTCGATTAAATCAACCGCATCTAGGGTAAATTTTGTTGATGTGCACTAGCTGGGACGGAAGTGTCCGGTATTTTCGGGCGTCATCATTAAGTGTAATGTCATTCGGAACATTAAATGAAAGAGGGAAAAAATCCCGAATTTTCTCTTCATAATATATGTAACGGTAAGTTCCGTGTATAACAAGATAACTCTAACTAGCAGATTCTAATGGATGAAGATTAACATTTAACATACGACTTAGACGACCAAATTTCTCAATATTTTTATTACAAAGCTTGGAATTTTTATTTAATACAGAACATTTGTAAAGTTAGAGTTACCGTTATTGCACTTCCGTCCCAGCTAGTGCACATCAACAAAATTTACCCTAGATGCGGTTGATTTAATCGAAATATTTCCAAATCAGGGGCACATAAAAATTAAATGGAAATATGAAAAGGAAGAAGAATGTGTAACAAATTTATTGATGTATGCATATTCCATGTGTTCTTATGCTTTAGATAAATAATCAGGCGAAGTTTAAGCGAGGTGAGGCAGACGACGAGAAAAGAGTTGCAAGCCTTCTCTCTTTTTATGTATCAGTCGAAAACGGTATATTTAAAAACAGTATATAGAGACAAAAGAGTTACATTATTGATAACATATAGTGCATATTAGAATACAAAAATAGGAAAAAGGTGTCTCGACCTCATATTTAAAAAGAAAAAAAATGGAAAGGGGGGGGGGGGTCCAGACCCCAAGTGATTGTGGCCTAGGCTGCCTCATTGAAAACAACGACCAAGGTCCTACCAGGATGGCTACCTCACTGATGTATACGGTTATTTCTTGTTTGAGACCAAAGTCTATGTCTATTTTTTATCTTTACATGTATCTATCTGTACAAGATTTGAGCAGTCCATTTGTATTTTTAACCTACCCAACAGTTGTATTCCTCTGCTTCATCTTTTGATTTTGTTATAAGATACTTTTCAAACAACGAACTTGTGTTGTAAATGTATTGCAAACACTGGTATTCTGCAGAGAAAGAGAGAAAAAAAAGAACATAATGCAAAGGATAATACAGAGCCATTCTTTTAACAGAAAATTACGCTTTACTTAGTAGTTTTCCAATGGGATATTGTTGGTTAGTTCTATCAATCCCCCACCTTTATTCCCCATTAAAATTAACCGGTGAGATAAATCTTCAGACGTTCTGTGTTACAGCGGATTCAAAAAATGTAGTAAATAAAATGTGGATTTTCCAAAACTCCACAGAACTTTAAAAAAAATGAAAATATTTTTTCCCAAAGTCACTAACATCAAAACTTGTCAATACTTTACACAACCATTCCTACATAGCAGAGTAGACGCACTAAGTTTGTCACCAAGTACTTGAGTACTCGTCTATCGTTCGGTCATACGATAATTCACTTAATATCTTTTACTCGTTAAAAATCTTAAATTTAAGCAAGAAAAGTGATAGAATTTTAAATTTCAGCAGCTGGTCATTTGTTGCCAAAGCTTAAATTCTTCTCGATAATGTGGATCAAATTATGTTTTTGAAAAAGAATTATTTCGTACTGTATATACATGTAATTAGGGAAAGAGATCTGTACATTCTTTCATGTTTCAGAAAGATAAACTACTCCCTTACGTTTGGCTTCATTGATTCCCTGACAATCTTTGCCGTGGACTGTTAGAGTGGTCACTGTGTTACATGTTTTGGGATCTACATCTGAGATCATTCCTAAACACTGCCGTCCACCATAGGTACCATTAAACATAAACCGTCCTTCAAACCCACAGTATGATCCAAACAGTAAACCATCATCATCTACAAATACAAAATTTAAGAACACTCAGGCAGTGAAATCAACCAGTAATTACACATTAACACATGTGTCTAGTGGAGGATCTAGGATTTATCAGGTGGCACAAATCAATTGAGTACACGTATGTATCAATATCTTACAGAGACGTGACGTTTTGGGAGCACTCTCTCACTGAAGCCTATACAATATTTCTGTATAAAATTTAAATTAATTCTAAATATTGTACGCATGTGAGTCGCTGCATACATGGTAGATGCATATATCCCCCTTCTCGACTCTACAAATTTGCTCTGTTTTTTGCGTTTCATGTTAGCTTACACGCCTAAAAATCGGATAAATATAAGAAAATGTTTTGTGCTTTGAAATCAACTTGTATCTTAATCACGATGAAATCAGAGATGTGTTGTTTATTACTAGCTATTCTTAAAAAAGTTTGTTTGATTGACTGCTTCTGAATACAGTTAGTTCCATCCGAGGCATGCGACAAATGTAACCATTTGTGCACACAGACAAATGTAACCATTTGCGCGCACATGGCGCGACAAACTTTTTTGTTTGTTATACAGTCTCCTGGATTCTTGTCACTTGTATAAATCCGGACCGTAGCAACGGTTTCAAAATTGAGGGGGGACCTCCCAAAAAATATCTAAATACGTATTTACTATAGCAAAATACTATGCTCAGAAAAAAGGGGGCAGCACTTGACTATTAAAAATATTAAAAAATGTAATAAAAATTTGTTGAACTATTGGATTACTGGAATTAAAGTAGTGTAAATTCACATTGAAGTGTTTTCTATTATGTGCTGTTATTTCGTTTCGTAATATAGACAATCGTAATCTAGATATATTTCGTTATATTGTTGACCTGCAGACCTACATATAAGTGTTTTCCTAGCACTACTGCGGTAAGTATCCAGTAGGGGGTATTCGTCGTCCCTAAACTGACACAGAGACTCGTATGGTTGGTTCTCTCGAACACTAGGACCTAAAAAAAATACCAAATGTAATTATTTATCAATTATATGATAGTTTTAGAGATATTATTACTGTAAACTAATTTCCTTTGCGTGAAAAGTATCGAATTTCAGAAGGAAGAGAGACTTTGAGAGTTTTAAACACTTTTTTGTTAGAAAGATAACCTGAAAATGAAAAAAAGCGCGAAAGAAAATCTTTGCATATTTTCTTGTAAGATAAAATCGCGAAACAGAGTAGCCGTGAAGTAAAATTGGTTTACGGTATAAAGCTTAAATAATCGTCCTTCAGCCTAGGCACATTTTCTTTGACACATTTTGTTAACATAACTGACTTACCAATTCTGTATCGAAGAATATTGTTGCCAAGTCTTTCTAATTCGATGCATGAGTACCTATTGGAGCTGTAAGCAGAACAATGTAATGTTATACTTGTCTTAAAATTTGTGATTTTTTCATGTCATGTATGTCATGGAAGTATGAAAAAGAAAATATTCAGCAAAATTTAAACAAGAGGCCCATGGGTCACATCGCTCACCTGAGCACATTGGTTAGGAAAAAAGCAGAAAATTGAAAAGTTTACGGGAAAACGAAGGGGGGGGGGTTAAACTTACCCTACCTCAAGATGCTTCCTTATCAATATTACTAATCATGGCTGTGCTGTTCTTGAGCAAAACAATTTTAAAGAGTTTCCCCTTATGTATTCCTATGTTAAACTCTGATCGCTCATTGTGGCCCCACCCTACGCACCCTAAATTTGAACAAATTTGAATCTACACTAGCTCAGAATGCTTCTATAATATGGCTTTGCTGTTCTTGAGCAGAAGATTTCTTTCAAGATGATTCCTTTACTAAAACTTTGACCCCCTGTTGTGCCCCAACTCCTGGGGGTCATAATTTGAACAAACTTATTCTACAATACCTAAGGTTGGTTGCTTCTGTAAAAATGTGACTATTAATGGCTTAGTTGCTCTAGAGAAGAAGATTATTTACTAAAGGATATTTCCTATGTATGATCAGGTTCTTATAAAGGATATATAGGTTTTCCTTTCACTCTGTCTGAGTTAATGATTGGAATGTTTAATAAGACTGCTCTGCCTGAGGGTAAATCACACAGTATTAAAATTTTTCTCTTAACTAGAGACATAGTCTGTGTAATGTACTACTTGCACCGTGTTTCTCCCTAGGTCCCTATTGATAGATAAGAACCGGAAGACTCAATCTTCTTCAGATTTACAACACCCAGAACTTAACATCAATTCCCTAGGATACTTGCCACTTGTGCTTATAACTTTTATACTTTCATTCTGCTCTTACCCTTAACTTTATTGCTGATTTAACAGCTAACGTCTTCTCCGAGCTTTTGAATACCATGTCTTCAATACGTTTTACACAAATACACCTTGTCCATTACACTTATATATTCCTCAGTAAAACTTTGACCCCCTGTTGTGTCTGCGCCCAACCCTTAGGGTCACGATTTTAACAAACTTGAATCTACACCACCTGAGGATTCTTCTATATTAATATGACTAACAATGGCCTAGCTATTCTTGAGAAGAAGTTTTTTAAAAGATATTTCCTCTATCTTCCTACGGTAAACATTGACCCCCCTGCTGTGGCCCTGCCCTACCCCCAGGGGTCATGATTGGAATAAACTTGAATCAATACTACATAAGAATGCTTGCATATAAATATGACTAATCATGGCTTTGCTGTTCTCAAGAAGAAGATTTTTAAAGACATTTCCAATACATGTGTATTCCTATGCAAAACTTCGACCCCCTCTTGTGGCCTGCAATACCTCCCAGGGTTATGATATGAACAAACTTGAATCTAGAGTATGTAATTAAGCTTAAGTTTCATCTTTTTCTTGCGCAGTGGTTCTTGAGAAGAAGATTTTTAAAAGAGCTACCAAATTTTCACGAATTCTTAATTATCTCCCCTTGAAAGAAGGCGTGGTACTTCCTGTGACCAAACTTAAATCCCCTTCACCCAAGATTGCTTTGTGGCAAGTTTGGTTGAAATTGGGCCAGTGGTTCTTGGGAAGAAGTCGAAAACGTGAAAAGTTTACAGACTTCGGCTCAGGAGAGCTATTAATGAGATTTAAAAAAAAAAAAAAAAAATAGATATTTCTCCTTCGCCAATCATACCTTTGGTCATCCTTCCTTGACCCTGAATAGATGACATTGATTATATATATATATATATATATATATATATATATATATATATATATATATATATATATATATATATATATATTAAAAAAACAACCAATGTCTCCTCTTGGTCATGTAACCAGACAATTAGATGTTCATTAGATGTTCTTTTAGGAGAACAGAATAACATACTGCTAATTTGATCAGAACCATGTCATAAATCTGAATTAAAGTTCAGAGTTTTCTTTGCACCTTTAAGTCGGTATTTTAATAAAAATAGTTACAGACATGATATTCAATAAGTTGAAGTAGGTTACAGCAGCATAAAATATACAAAAGTACTTAGAATTTACTGATGGACATAATATACATTAGATAAATTAATAAACAATGATGTAAAATTTAAATTATTCAGTAATGATTTTTAAAGAACCAAGAACCATATAGAATATGAACAAAAACTTATTTCCCCATTTCATGAATGTGGCATTTGCTTTCAATATATGCTACATTATTCACTGTATTTCTTTTTATTAAAATGTGATTACTTAGTCAAGTTTTTCAGACTTGCTATGATAAAAATAGTTGATACCATATGCTCATATTAGACAAAATTTGGTTGCTTTAAATTATGTCTTGGAAGTCATTTTTGAACATTTTCAGAGTCCCATTATACAAACGCTTTTAGCAATGTTTTCCATATTTTAAGAATATGACATGACCGTGTGAAGAGTGATTCCGAACTGATAAGCTCTGCTGCTCTTCTGTCTGTCAGTTCTTATGAATTGTTTTCAAATAACATTTATTGCATATCCAGGTACATGTCAGCATAAAATATTATTCTGCAGTTATCAGTTATAAATATACAGGTTCAAGCGAAAGACTACCTTGACGTACGAACCAATTACAGCGATGTGAATAAAAACTGATGCGTTTACAGAATATCTTCATTATTTCAAGAATATTTCTGCAACTGTAATTTTTGCGGATTTGTCCTATCCGCAAAAAATTAACAACAGCAGAAAATACTATTAAAGGTATTACCAACTACACGGATATTCATTTCATTTCTGAAGCTTCTTGTATCTCTTTCTCGGTGCAAGAAGCTTCACATAACGTTGAATATTGCTATGAAATTAGGAAACTTGAACATTTTTCCTTCTTGGCAATCATTAAAACAGTTTTTTTTTCATAAACATAAAATATATCGTATTCAACTTAAACTCTGTTAGATTAATACACTTTGAATGACTAAAATGATATTTCTTTATTGATGAAAAGGTAACTAAATCAAACAAATGGTCCATGGGCCACAACGCTTACCTGTGGAAAATAGATCTCTCATGTTCTTCATCAGCAGCTTTTTTTTTTCTATTATATATTCCTATGTAAAACTTTGATTCCCTGTGGTGACCCCACCCTACCCCCAGGTGTTTAAACAAACTTGAATATACACTACTTGAAAATACTTCCCTATCAGTATGACAAATCATTGCTGTTCTTGAATAGATTTTTAAAGATTTTTTCTCTACATATTCCTATGTAAAACTTTGATCCCCCCCGTTGTGGCCCTACCCTATCTTCTATTCTCTCTTTATGGCCACATCTGGCTAACTATTCACCTTAAGATGCCACTGGGTAAAAAATGTGCGGTAACTTTAAACTTTCAATCTAGGTTTAAGCAGGCCTTCGTTCAAAAATATTGTTTAAAAGTTTTCTGTTCTTTCCTAACAAAAATATACTTTAGTTAACTATAATTTACTCTAGTTAACTATAGTTTCAAAGTTTGAACTATAGTAAATTAAAGTATATTTACTATCTACTTGAGAATGTTATATTTAAAGTCATGCACATTGACTTTAATTTTTTTTAAATGGAAATATTACTTGTATATTCACATTTTATTTCTAAATTTTACATTATTGGTATTGAATTTAAGATATTTTCAGCTTCAAAATCTCAAAAAATGTTCTAGAGTAAAAGTTGATAGTAAATCAAAGTATTTACTATAGCTTACTATAGTAAACTATAGTATAGTTAACTATAGCAAAGAACTATGCACCCTACCTTTCAATTCCGGAATAAATTTAAGACCCATTTAATTCAATATTAACGAAAATATGGCCATTCAAACGTTTTGAATGCAAAGAAGAATTTGATTAATTAAGTAATTGATTAATAGTATCAATACCAGTGTCATATAGTGAATTGCTCTAAATTACTAATTAATCTTTTTATAACAGGCAATGTTATCCTTTCAAATCAGGTTTTAAAACATCAACAGATTTTAAAAATATTCACGGGCGTGGATAAATAACCCTAATTGTTTCCGTATGATTAAGTCCTGTAAATTGAATATATAAGACTGATAAAGTACAGTTTTTTTAAAGTTGTAATATTTTTTAAATTTGTAAGAAAATGTCCATTTTCGCTGTTTTTGTCTGTAAACAAATCCCAGTGAAAGAAAAAAAAAACTTATGAATTTGTTAACTAACAATACATAATACCAGTAAAAAGGAATATTTGTTTCAATTTTTTTTTTGTTTTCCGTTGATAAACACAAATTTTACAAAAATTTAGAGTTATCGCGCTTTGTTTTCCCAAATAAATTATGTTTTGTGAAAATTCATATAAATATCTATACAAATATGAAAATTCATTTAAATGTGTTTACTTGGGGGTAGGTTGCAGAACAATGCTATCGTTCGCAGTTCTTTCTGTTAGGGTTGAACCAGTTTGATTTTTTTTACTTCACAGTAACCTAGATTCATTCAAATTTCATTAGTTTTATATTTTTGAATTTGATTGTTCACTTTAAAAGTTTTCTATTTGACATTATTTCATATTTACATGATGTATCTGTATTTGTTCTCTCTGTTGTGTTTCATTTCTGATCGTTAAAATAGGCAATAAATACCTACTTGTTTTCTTTTTACTTAAATAATTTATGAAATGAGCTGTCATTCCTTCTTATTTTCATGTATGTTTAAGTAGAATATCTGTGGTATGCACAACAGCAACCCCCCCCTCTCTCTCTCTCTGGTACCATCCGTTATTATAAGCTGTGGTGACCGTATACTGGTGCTCGTCTGGGGTCCTTTGATAACACTGGAACGCCCCCATCTCAGAAAAATCGACATGAGAGGAGTTTATGACAACTTTCTCAAATCGGTTTCGCTCAATTAGCTTCCATTTTCCATACAATTTTGAACTGAATGAACACGTCTTCCGTGAAGCTGAATTTTCATCTAAAAATAAAAAAGAGTGTTCTTACATTTTGTAACTGTCGAATGGTTGTCAGATTGAAATAGTGCACGGTTTATAAATTTACCGAACAAATAAATCTTACTGTAGGACTTTTTTAATTAGGTTCTTAGTAAATATTCTGTAATAGTTTCAACAGAGAAGTAAACAAAAATATCAAGGATCATGTTATTTAACCTTTTAAATTAAACCTAATGAAGTAACCTAAAAGAATTTTCAAGTTCAAATAGTTCGAAAGATTTACTCAGGTTACCAAATGCTATCAATTTCTGTCTGTTATAGTGTAGAACGAAGGTCATTAATATTTAGCTTAATTCTTTCCTGAAATGGCTAATTTCAACCAGTATAAATACATAACATCTATGGGTGAAAATGGAACAGAAATTGAAAATTTAGCCCCCCCCCCCTCTCCTTCTTTATGGGCTGAAGAGGAAACTAAAAATCCTCAAAAAGGCAATTTTCAAAAATCTTTATATAAAATCATACATATCTTTCAAGTGAACGGTTTTCATAATTATAATAACCTCTTAAAACAATAAGATATTGACTCCAATTGGTCATTCTTTATTTGTTTGACAATGTTTTATCTCTAGGACATGTTCGGCAGGTAAACAGTTTCCATGGTGAAAACGAGCAGATAGTATCTGGAGAAAGATTCATGATTTCTGGGTTCAAGGTTAAGTTAGGCTTAGTTGGTCACATGCTAAAAATTCACTAAATTTTTGAAATATCAATTTGCTCCTGGGGAGTATCAAACAAAGCAAAACAAAGAAAAAAACTAAGAATACAAAACAAGAGGCCCATGGGCCACAACGCTGACCTGAGTATCTATGGCCCTTTTGTTCTTCATCAGCAGATTCTTTTTCCAACATATTCTTATGCAAAACTTTGATCAAATATTATGGCCCCACCCTATCCCAGGGGTAATTATTTGAACAAACTTCAATCTAAGCTACATGAGGATGCAGCTGTATAAATATGACTAATCATGGATTTGCTGTTCTTGAGAAGAATACTTTTAATGATTTTTTCCTATGTATTCCTACGAAAAACTTTGATTGCCCATTGCGCATTGTGGCCCCGCGCTGCTTCCGGGGGTCATGTTTGAACAAATTTCAATCTACACTATAGATCTGCAGATGCTTCATATAAATATTACTAATCATTGCTTTTGCTGTTCCTGAGAAAAAGATTTTAAAAGACGTTCACAGAATCTTTATTACACGCATGGGTCATTGTATACTTCCCATTTTTCGATCGGATACATATTTGTGGTTTCCCATGGTAAAACCTACAACATTGGGGGGGGGGGGGGTATCACCCATCTTTTATCCGCTTTTCTATTTAGCGTCTTTGTTGGAATGCGGATTCCGCTAAATCAAATACATCACGAAATGTCTTGTTGATATCGAGTTAAATTTAGCACACAGGCCTTTGGATCGCTTAAATCCGACTTTAAAAAATCGGGGTGTATAAAAAAGATAAAGGTATGGAACTCCTTTCATAGGGTACCCACTTTCGCTAATAAAATACTTTTAAATCGAATGCTCCAGAATTTTACTTTCTATTCATATCTATTCATATATAATCACTCTACATTACTACCAAAGTTCACTCCGAAATTCCATGTACTTCCCGAGATATGGTGAAATCAATTCCAAAATTGACCTACTTTTTTTTACTCGACATTAGCTTGGGCCCTGGTTATCCACATGTATACAGACGGTGTTTGAACTGCAGCGAACAGCTGCATAGTATTTGCACAATCTTTCAACATTTTAAAGTTGATTTTTTACTCCAGATCGTAAGGTTAAGTCAGTAATAATTCCTTACGCGAAAAAAAAATTAGAAAACGTTTGCTTCCAACAACTTCACGGCCATGTTGTTCATAAATGTAAAAAGAACTATGATTGAACGAAAATTTCCCGGAATGCATAATATACCTTTTGATTTTTTAAAAATTATACCGCTGAAATGTTGTTGGTAACTTAATAAGACCATATGATCAAATCAGATAAAATTTTGTAGAAACTGAGTGCTAAAAAACAAATATTCAGAGAGTATAGAATAAATTCCGGGAAGAATTCGTCCCGTCGTTCCCGCTTTACAATTAGTGTAACTATTCAGAGGCCCAAGCTAATGTCGAGTAAAAAAATAAGGCCAATTTTGGAATATGATTTCAGCATATCTCGGGAAGTATACGGAATTTCGGAAAGAACTTTTGTAGTAACGTAGATTGTTTATATGTGAATAGTTATGAATAGAAAGTAGAGTTCTAGATCATTTGATTTAAAAGTATTTTATTGGCGAATGTGGGTACCCTATGAAAGGAGTTCCATACCTTTACTTTTTTTAACACCTTAATTTTTTTAAAGCGATCTAAGGGCCTGTGATTTAGCACATTCAGAAATGCCCTGAATCAAATCTATGCTGACTTGCAGAAAAATCAATTTCCGTCAAAGATCATATACGCTTAGCGTAATTACAATTACCATACCCCCCCCCCCCATTATACAACTGCTTGTATTAAATAGTAATCATCGTACGAAATTAGTCCATCTCTACTACTTATTTGCTTCCGATGTAGACAAAATCATGCATGCATTTTAACTAGTTTAAAATGGCATATAAAAATCGATATTATATTATGTTCCACCTTAAATTAGGTACTTAAGTATATATCTTTTGTTCTTTCGTTTTTATTTTCTTTTCGTTTCTTTTCAGTTCTTTCTGTATTCTTGTATTTTCTTTCCGTCTCTTCTTTTCTTTCTGTTTCTTTTCTTTCCGTTTTATTCTTTTTGTTTCTATTCTTTCCGGGGTTTTTTCTTTTGTTTCTTTTCTTTCCGTTTTTTCTTTTTGTTTCTTTTCTTTCCGTTTGTTTTCTTTCTTTTCTTTTTGAAGTTTAAAGGTACCCCGGTAAAACACGTGCACAGTTGGAAAGACAGTTTTTAATCCGTTCAATATTTACTTTACACACAAAATATATACTTATATACCTTGGTAATTCGTTGCCACTATCTATTCTGTGACAATGAATTTTATTTCGTGATCACAAATTTTAATTTGTGGGCGCGATTTCTTTATCGTGGCCACTTATTTATAATATAACAAGAGGCCCATCAGCCACATCACTCACCTGCGCACATTGGCTAGGAAAAAGCAGAAGTTGGTTCAGTATTGAAAATTTTTCGGGTGGGGACAAACTTAAATTTACAATACCTCAGGATGCTTCCATATCAATATTACTACTCATGGGTTTAATATTCTTGAGCACAAGAATTTTAGAGATCCCCCCCCCCCTTATGTATTCCTATTTAAAAACTCTGCTCGCTCATTATGGCCCCACCCTACCCACCCTAAATTTGAACAATTTTGAATCTACACTACCTGAGGATGTTCTTTAATAATATGACTAATCATCGCTTTGCTATTCTTGCGCAGAAGATTTTTAAAGATACTTCTAATATTATATATATGATCAGGTTCTTACATGGGATATAAGGCTAGGTTTTCCTTTTACTCCGAGTTAATAATTGAAATGATTATTTAGACTGCTCTGCATAAGGGGAAATCACACAGTACTAAACTTTTTCTCTCATCTACAGACAGGGACTGGGTAAGGTACTACTTGCAGTGTGATTCTATCCTAGGTTCCTATTAATAGATAAGAACCGGGTGACTCAATCTTCTTCAGAATTACTTCTCCCAGAACTTAACACCAATTATAGCAAAACGGCAAAAATGTACTGACGTCGTTATATAATGACGTTTCTCTACGACATTTATTTTGAATCAAATGGGACATAAGATTTCCACAAAAAGGAATAAATTTAGAAATAATATTTGGACAAGGTTTAAAGAATTGTAATGTCAAAAATCGAATCTAGACGGTTTATAGCAAAATGACACTAAAGATTATTAAATAGAAGCACACGAAAGGTTTAAAAGATATGAGGATGAACTGAAATGAGTGTCGAAAAGTAACGTTATATCGATGCCGGCAGACAAAACCTAATGCTGAGTTTATCTTAATATTTTAAGGGTATTTTATATCATCAAATGAAATTTTAAGACACAAATCCAAATAAATAAGGATATAAGTATGTCAAGTTTTGTTGATAACATTTGACCATTAAAGTTTTTATAGCAGCTGTGAGATTACTTTGGGATCAACCCTCGTGTTTAGGGTTTGGTAGTTTAAATGTAGTGCTATTTAATTTTGCTTTCTACTTCTTTTTTATGACTTTTTAACCTTTTCTTTGTCCTGAAGAGGGTACAGGGTATATAATAAAACCAGTGACATAAATGTTATTTATGTCTTTAGTGACATAAATGTTATTTATGTCTTTGAAAAAGCCTATAATAAATTGATTTTTTAAAAACTTTTTCATTATAAAAATACATTTCATCAGAATGTAACAATCATTAGATCAAAAGAGAACAATTTGTGCCAAGCAGAGATTATTGAAAACCCCAAAGATAATCTATTTCTTCATATTTTAATTTTCTTACCACATTCTCCACAGGTCTTTAGACAATGTCGATAAAATCCTGTTTTAGGATGGTCACACATTCCGGAATCTTTTAACTTGCTGCATTCTACTTCGTTGTCATCTTGACATACTGCGTTGTCTAAATGTTAAATATGTCATCATTATGATGGCATGTTTCTGTTCAAGTCATTTTTCTGAAGCGTTTTTCTGATCCCACCTCTAATGTTTTAGAGGTCCGTGTTTGCTCTGTTCCAAAATTTGTATTGTTTAATGGACTTTTGAGTTTGAATACTGTTCGTTATCTCCATACATTTCATGTAATACAATTATGCCTGGCATTTTTATATTAAACATACAAAGTTATGTTTATGACATGCAATCATAAATAATTGTAAAATTGCTGAAACATAGAAAAAAGTAAAATCTTAAGTATAAACTTGATGATGTCAAAATGCGACATATACAACATGCAGTCTATTTAAGCAAGTAAACTTGGTTGCAATTAAGGTGATAATGTTATCGAGTAGCCATATTTGTCATATGTTGTTTACTCTGAAATCATATTTTACTGAAATATTATTGTAAGAAAGTGTATGTTTCCTACATTTTGCCATTGATTTCCATTAGTATCACTGACATACGGATGATCAATTCTATTACGTAGTTTCCTACAAAAATGCATCTTTATTTATGAAGCTAAATTCGATGATCGTGTATTTTATCTCATTCAAAAAATACAATATCAGGACTTACTTATTTTCCTCATTTTAAGCTTAAAATAGTTGATACCAGGTGGTGCAAGCCCATCCCTGTCTGTAGGGCATATAACACTGACATACACGAATGCCTCAAAATTCTCAGAAAGAGTATTGGGAAAGCGCTGTAAAGAAGACACATAATATATATATATATATATATATATATATATATATATATATATATATATATATATATATATATATATATATATATATATATATATATATATGAGAGAGAGAGAGAGGGAGATGTTTTCTTTTTCAAAATATATTTTATGGCATGTGAGAAAACGTATTGTGATTTATAAGCGTATAGTAATTCCATGTTTTATATAAAATAATAACAATAAAAGTTTAAGAAAACTATAGACTAGACAGTTTCTGCCAGAAAATTACTTACAATGCAGAATTGTGGTTCGTTGTGGTAATCAGCTTCTTTTTGGGCTGATACTATCATGTATGTAAAATTCCTCTGCTTCCAACCAGCCCAACAATGTAGAGTCGTTACTGAAACCAAATTAACATACTTGTTTTTAGATATAAATTTAAAGACTGAAACACAATGAACGCTTTGTCAAAGAGTATTCTTTCTTTCAATTTTTCCTTTAAAAGATTTTCAATAAAATAAGAGCTTTTTTGTTTTGAACGCTTTGGTATGTGTGTATAACTTTTTCAAGGATGTATCTTTCTTATATTTAGTGTATTTAAAAATTCGTAATTTTTAAACAATCAGTAAGACAATATCACCAAGCAATGTATCATTTCATTTAAAATTGATTGTCTTTTTAGTAGCTAGATCAGACATTAGGATTAAAAATCACTGTTCCCAATCTTGATATGTCCACTTTTATTTAAAATATTATAAGTTCATTATTTTGCCTAAAAAGATTATACCACATAAGGTCTATCAGGTAACCCTACTAAATTGAAATAAATAATTTAATTAAAAAACATTGACTGATCCCAATTTCTTCTAATTTTCTTAAATTTCTAAGGAATTCTTTTTCGTTAATTTTTAATACTTCTCATAATCTAAATGTTTCTCATTTTCAAATATGCTGAAGACTTCACATACCGATACAAAAAAAATAATATAATATTAATATTGACCATTAAATAAGACAGATAAACAGTTTGACTGATTTTTTTCACTCAAAATTGCTTAAAGATTGAATGCTTACCTTGTTTAGAAAATCTTATTTTTTAAAAATACATTCTAAAACTGAACACCTTAATTATAAATTTCATTCAGTTAAGAAAATCCTTTAAGACTTTGTTTAAGATGTGAACTTAATTCATAATTCTGTAGTAAACTTGATATATTTTACAACGCTGCTGTTCCGCCAAAAATATAATCCCTGCTAGATTTTAAACTCAGTGTACAGATACCATTCTAATACGGAAGCCCATTTAAGACCTATCAAAAAATATTTTTAAATTCGATATAACGAATTGTCGAATTCGTTATAACGAATTTAATTCGTTATGACAATCCCATTGCTCAATGACCCTGAGTGCCGAGTAAAGGTCTATATTTGAAGCCCTTCACCGGTATACGTCTCTCTATGAGTGAAAATTCTCGAAAGGGACGTAAAACAATATATAACGACCAAAGAATTTGCAATATGATGACTTTCAACGAGGCTGTAGAAAGCCTTTTAACATCAGTATGTTTGTCAGTAGCCTTTCTTGTTTAAAGGTTTATGCAGAACATGCTTAGTGCTCTTGCGTACCAAATCAGTTGGGAGGCAAAAACATCATAATTTATGCATGTGACAGTAGAATATATATATATATATATATATATATATATATATATATATATATATATATATATATATATATATATATATATATATATATATATATATATATATATATATATATATTGTGTTGACCTGATTTTCAAAGACTATGTAGGTATTGTCAATTTGACTATGAAGACATCTTTATAATATCAACTTCAGACTACTTGTGTGTAGAATCGGAACAATTTTTAATAAAGTAATTACATGTATGTACATGTAGATGACCAATTACATGATCTGAAAATTTCCGAGTTCAATTTTCATAACCGAAGCAGTTGTCTGTGATGTCAAAAAGCCAGGACTTTTTCATGAGGAGTGCTTGTATAAAATGTTGAAAAATCAAACTTCTTGATAAATTTTAATTTAAAAAGCTGGAGAGAGAGATAGAGAAAGAAGCAGAAATATTTCAGTACTGATTTTTTACTTAGATGTTTGAAAATGTCTCCCAAGAGAACATTCTGTACTTCTAAACTTCTGCTGTTCACAACAAATAACAGACTGTTAACACAGACTGCATCTTGTGTTCAAAACAAATACATGTACCAAAACAACTTGTGTTAAAGGCAACAACCAACTACGACGACATTTTACAGAAATACACACCAGAACTGGTCTTTGAAAATGGATTGCATTCACTCTTCACTGGCGCAATAAAGACTATACCACCACCCTTGCTACACTCTACTTCAACAGAAGAGTTCCTCCATTCATTTTCGCATGTATCCTGAATATTAAAAGAACAATTATCAAGCATAATTAACAAAATTTAGTTACAAGATGTACTTTTAGAGATGAAATTTTGAAGGAACGTGGTGTTAATACAGATGTTATATACGTAAATCTTGTATTTGGCGAAATTCTCCGACGGGTAAAGGATTTCATAATTATCACATCTGAAATTACCAAGGTTATCAGCCGTGTGTTAGCGCAATTAAAAATATCATATTCAGTTTGTTAAAATTTAGCACCTGCCTGATAATGCTCTTAATTAAATAGCGAGACAGTAGAAACTTTGTTATCCGACGCCTGTGAATTCTGACCCTTATTTCCATTTCCACTTTGCTCTTTTCCATGTTCTTTACACTGTCTGTCCCCGAGGATACTTATCATTCGATACTTATTCATTCATGAGTAGTACAGCTATAGAATACTTTCGTTATCTCCGTTTAAATTTTAACCATCGAACATGTATCTCTACTGGTGGACAGTCTGTCCCCGAGGATACTTGTCGTTCGATAGTTATTCATTCATGAATAAAAATACCGTTCGTCACCTCCGTATTTAACTGTACAATCCGACATCACACAATTTGTGTTCCAGTGTATGTCGGATTAGACAGGTTTCACTGTAGATTAATATAATAATAAATCAATAATAGAATAATGATGTAATTAATATTCATTAAAAAGGTTAGGCTAACCTTCATTGTAAGCCCACTTATGACCCTCAGTGAAAACCCACCAGAAATAGGACAAGTGTACGCCGATGGTTTCCAAGTGGCTAGGTTAGAAAAGTAAAAGTAAGATAAAAATCTAAGAAAGGATAAGTACTTTATATACATTTGATGGATTTATAGAAAAAAAGGTAATTTGGTGCTTCATTTTGCTAATATTATATTTAAAAAAAACTCTCTGTGATATAGATTTGTTTTTTATTTTTTCTAAAAGCTATAGTTTACAATTGTCTCCCACAGAGTTTATTTCTTCGTAGTTGACTGAAAAGTGTAGAATTTACTTTCAAATTAATCAAATTTCAGACGTACACAGCAGAGACACAAATGATTTATGTATAGATAAAATTTTTATTAGTAAATTTTCTATTACCAATCCAGGGCCATTCGTCGAACACCATTTTGTCGTTGTCACACAACCTAGGAACATTTCTCCCGTTGATTGGACCTGTAAAACAAAACAGTTATATATTGTCGTCGCCATACAACCTAGGAACATTTTTTCTGTTGACTAGACCTGAGTCAAAATAATGTCTCCTTTGAGATCAAACGACACAGATTTCAGATTTCTGTGGGCGATGATGGACAGAAAATGTTAAGCGTTACGAAAACGCCGATCAGATGCCACATCAAGTCACTTATGGTCTTCCGTAGATACTCTTGTTTGTTTAATTATCTCTAAGCTCCTGGGTTTAAGGATTCCCTGATCAATAGGTAATTTAATTAAGAAGAATTAACTGCTTTTAGGATGTATAAAGAGGCACAACATGTTGAATTCACTTGAGTATCTTTTTATCATTAAGGAAACTGCCAGTTCTTCTTGGGTATCGAGGGAATCATCAAGACGTCCAAATAATCGCACGATCGTAGAAATTTCTCAAGATTTAGATTTTTTTTCAAATAATGCCATCAGGTACAAATACTCGTGCAATATAGAAATAGGCGAGAACAAATCGTACAGCGGTTTTTACATTGCTCCAAAAATGTAATTTGCTGTTTATTAAGGTCTTCCGTCTTCACGGAAGACCTTATAGTGATTCTACTGTTTCTTCTTATTATTTTTTTTTTTCCCCAAAATTTTGTGCAGGCGATTTCTCAGAAACTATTCAGTGGTTTTAAATGAAACTTTCAGGAATTATGCGTCGTCAGATGGACTTTGTTCATCAGAAGGAAAATTTGGAAAACTCGCTTCCTGTGCCAAGTTATTGACAGTTTTCTGATTTTAAAATGAGATTTTGTCCCCCCTTTTTTTCAAAAATGGTTTAAGATATGAACTGGAGACTTGTTAGAGATGATAGGTTATGTCTTCCAAATGAGGGGAATCACCTTTTTGTGCGTCGTCAGTATTTCCGGTCGTTACCGGATGCGAATTTAAAAAAGTCGAATTTTTAAACTTTTTTGTTTTTCTATAGTTTTCTTTTATTTTATTAAGGTTAATAGAGGCTCTTCTGAAAATGCTTAATATATAATTTATTTTAGAATTGATTAATCCAAACTCTAGTTATTCGCATTTCTAAATTTGAAGCGGGTCCAAAATGGCGGCTGTCTCCGTAAACTCCGATAAGTAGGTCGGAATTTACGGAGTCAGCCGAGCGTTTGTTTGAATGAAAGTACCATAAGGATCAAAGAAATGTGAAGGAATTGTTCGATTGTCACATCACAATTACGTTGCAATTCTGTTTCGAACTAGAGTTTTAATCCGGGGTTTCCTCAAACGTCTACTATAATTGTTCTTGTCTGTATCTCAAAGTAGAAAAACGACATGACTACAAGTGGAAATACGATAACTACAACCTTTTGTTTTACACCACGGAAAAACTGATCCTAAACCATGGTTATAAGTAATAGCTTTTCAAGAAACTTGCCTGACTAAAGCAATCAATATATAGTAATTATTACGTGGCCATTGTTTTTTTCCCCATGCAGGCTTGTGTCATATTAAATGAACAGAAAAGACAAAAATAAGAAAACCTTTTTTTTAAAGATTGTTTTATTAAGTTGATATAAATATTTTTTTTTCTAAAAGATGTTGTTATTGAACATAAATGGTATGAAATTCCTTGACCGTCGCAGGACGAGACATGTTTCTGGGCGAAACATTCCAGTCTTTTCATGAATGTGTAACTAATCGGGATAGTCCACTTTTGGGGTATACAGGAAAATAAAACTTGTAGAAAATCTTACCTAAATCACTGCTTTAGTGTTACTTATCCATACGATATATAATAAGTACAATATGATAAATATACTTTCTCAAACTCGATATTCAGGTTATAAGAACATTTTGAAATTTCATTGAAGCTATCACCATTTAATAGAAAATACATTCCAAAGGAAATGCGCGAATATTTACCCGTGACGTTTTGCGCGAAATAATGTATCGTGACCAACCTTTCGTAGTAGACAAATGGTCTGATGCAGAAGTATATAGAAGTGCAGAAAAAGATTACATGGACATGCCTGTATATGGAATTACATGAAATAAAAAGTTGAATACATAAAGAATAAAAGAAAGTAAACAGTATCGTCAGAGAATGGCTAAAGATATGAATATGAAACTTGCTGAGGTGATAGAGCATCAAATGTAGATATGGTGATTGACCATTATTTTTCGTCGTTCTTACTTCTGGTCACAAACGGAAGTGAATTCAAAAATGTTAAATTTGCAACTTTTTGTTTTTCAATATTTTTCTCTGGGATTTACAGGGTTAATAGAGAGTCTTCTAGGAGTTTTATTTATGTTTTCATCTTTTTGATTGAAAAAGTTTGCAGAGATTTTTAAAATTCACTTCCGGTCGAGTGTTTACCTGTCCTCAAAATTAGAATTTGTTCTCACAATATTGCTCGGCAACAGTAAACGACTGAAGTCTAAAACTTTCAGGTCTGATAGTCAGTCATCAGTTTATTTGAATCGTGAGAAAATCTTGTATCGCCGTTACTTCCGGTCGTGACAGGAAGTGATGCAAAAAAGTGAATGGTTAATGGTTAGCTTTCTTGGATTTTCATGCTGAATTTCTTTTGTCACTTTTTCAGCGTGATTTTTTGTTTTTATTTTCAGAATCGGACGGAAGACCTCTCATTGCTCGCAATGAGTTTCTAGTTATACTAATTATTTGTTATTTTCATCTAAAAGCAGCAAAAAAAAAAAAACTGCATAAAAATATTACTTATTTCTATTTTAATAGATTGTTGGACTGTACTTATCATTGTGACATAAGATTTTACATTCGGAACAAGAGGCTTGTTGACCTTCACGGTCACCTGAGTATCATGAGTTTCTCAAGCTATGACCACTTTGGCCCTACCCAAAACTGCAATGAAATACGGAGATAACGAACAGTATTCAAGCTCAAAGTTCATTAAAACAATACAAATCGGGGGCAGAGCAAACATAAACCTCCAAACACATCAGAGGTGGGATCAAGTGCCATGGAGGAGTGAGCATCCCCTGTCAACCGGTCACACCCGCCGTGTGCTCTTTGTCATGACGGGAAATAACGGAAAAATCCGTCGACAATTCATTGTGTAAATAATGGCCTAACAATTAGTATGAAAAACGTCAGTCAGCATATGACTTAATGATAGATTATATTTGCTGACAAGGTCATTGTATCGACCATATAACTTAAGAAATGATGACTTTAAACGAGACAGCTGATATTCTTGTCTCATCAACTTGTTTGTCAATAACCTCGTTTTAGATGTTGTTCATACGTAGAGCATGCTCTTGCGTATCGAATCAACTAAGAGATATACACCCCATATGCAGGTGATAAGGGTATATTGCTGCATAAGTAAGGGAAGTTGACGATTGAAAAGTTAAAGTCAATACGTTTATCATAAATCTTTGTTGTTAGATTACCATTAACGTCTTTTTCTAGTAAAATATCCAAATATGAAACAGATGTGTCAGACTCTGTGGTATCTTTTATTTCAAGCTCACTGGGATATATCGCGTTGACATATGAATGGAAATAACTACTGTTAATTGATCATACGTAGTCGATATATCGAAATGTCGAGTTGAAGGCCACAGCAAGAAATTTTTTTCATGTATTTATAAGATTTTGAATAAATTCTGCTTCATATGAATACAAAAATAGGTCTGCTAACGACGGGGCGCAATTGGTACCCATGGAAATTCCAACAGATTGTTGGAAGACCTAGTCTCCAAAACCCACATATATATTATCAATCAGAAACTCAAGCATCTTTTTAATATCAACTTCAGAGTACTTGTGTGTACAATCAGAATGTTTTTAACAAAATAATTTTGCAAAATGACAAGGTAAGTAAATTTACGAGTTCCATTTTACTGAAAAAGCAGCTGTCAATGATGTCAAAAAGCATGGACTTTAATTTATCGTGGGGAATGGTTGTATACAGTTGAAAAGTCGTAAGTTTTTATGTTATAGATTTTGGTAAAATTTTGTGATTTCAAATTTTCCAAAAGTTCCTTGGAATTTTTAAGTATCCACATCTGATTTACACCACTTCTCGAATATATTGTTGCACAGTACTCCTGAAGTTTCTCCTTCACTGCTATTAATATTTCAGTGAGGAGTAAAGAAAGAGGCTTGGTAGAACATTTACTAGAACCTGCTATGTATCTTTGTTTGTAAGGATTTTATGAAGTTTCGGAATCCAATATAATTCAAATTCAATTTGTTTGTTGGGAATATTAAACATATTCAAAACTGACATATGATTTTGAAGAATTTCCGCCTTAGAAAGAGAGCTATGGGTATAAGTTTGATTACCTAGCCCCGCCTTGGGGCATGGACCATGGTTAAGTGCTTTGTATACTAGTAGAAGACCGAGAGTTAATTACTTGTATTATCATACAAACAACTTGTCGATTAGATGTTTGTGAGTAAGAAGATTTTCAAATACGTATAATGTATTTTCAATACCGTATCAGAAGTTTTATCAAGGATTCAATTTTAGCATTATTAGCAAGTGTATTGAGGTCGCTAAAATTGAATATCCCTAAAAATACTACTTCACCAACTAAGGAAACTTCAATCATGAGCCCGGGGCCATAAATTGCACAATTTTAGTAGGAGGTTGTGCTTATAATAATCATGGAAATATCTGCATGCCTGCTAAATGTCGATGAGTATAGAAAAATATTTCAAAGATGTATTTTTAATGGATGTCTAACTATCCGAAACTTGGAGCTAAAGTTCTGGACCCCGGAGAGCCAAGAATTTAACAATTAGGGAAAAGGGTTGACTAATTATTGCTATTATGCAAAAACAGTCTGTCTGCAAGATTTCCATGAGTAAGGAGAACATTGTCAAAGTTTTAATGTGTTTTCAACGTATGCCCAACTTATCCCCGCCCTGGAGTCCCGAATTATTTGCCCGGAAATATGATTTTCAGAATATTACTATATTGCATAAAGTCCATTAGTAGAGAAGGTGTAATGTATTTTCAATATTTGGC